CTAAGTTTTGCATGCATCAAGGTTTACTCTGTGCTGTGAAGTTCTGTGGGTTTGTCAAAGGCTTAACCATCTTGTGCTCATCGTCACAGTATTATACAACACAGGTTCACCGCCCCCCAAATCCCTGTGCTTCACCCATTCAACACCCATCCCCCGCATGCTCCCAGAAACTGTTGTGGGTCATCTCTATGGCTTTGTTTTTGCAGAATGTCATATAACTGGCATCATACAGTATGTACTTTTTTTCTAACTGACTTCTGCCACTTAGCAATATGCCATAAAGATTTATACGTGTTTTTTTTGTGTCTTGATGCTTATTCCTATTCCATTGTATGGATGTAACACATTCATTCATTACCTTCTGGCGGACATCTTGGTTCCTCACAGTTTGAGGAATCCAGCTTTGGAAACATGAACATGCAGGCTTTTGTGTGGCCATTAGTTTCCAGATCAGTTGGGTAAACACCATGAGCATGGTTGCTGAATATTTTAAGACGATGTATAGTTTTGTAAGAGAGGGCTAGACTGTCTTCCAATCTTCCAAGGCAGCCACCCCAGTTTGCTTTCCCATCAGCAGTGCACAAGACTTCCTGTTCTCTCCTTGCCAGCAGTTGGCATCATTGTATTTTCAATGTTAGCCATTCTAATCTGTGTACAGTGGCATCTCTTTGTTGTTTTAATTTGCAGTTTCCTAATGAAAAATAATGGGGAAGAGCTTCTCATGTGCTTATTTTCCAACAGTGTATTTTCCTTGGTGAAATGTCTTTTCAGATCTTTTGCTCATTTTTAATTGGGCTGTTTCCTTATTGTTGAGTTTTGAGAGTTCTTTGTACATTTTGGATACAAATGTTTTGTACATTTTGAAAATATTTTCTCCCAGTCTGTGGGTTGTTTTTTCACTCTCTTAGCAGGTCTTTCACAGAACAGAAGTGTTTTGTTTTGTTTTGGTTTGGTTTGAAGATGAGAGTCTCACTGTGTCACCCAAGCTGAAGTGTAGTGGCTATTCACAAACTCAGTCATGGCACATTGCAACCTTGAACTCCCGACATCAAGTAATCCTCCTGCTTCAGCCTCCTGCATAGCTGGGACTACAAGTGCTCACCACCACACCTGGCATGTTTTTAATTTTAGTGACATCTATCTATCTAATTTTGTAACAATTTTACAAAATTGTAAATTTTGTGTGAGTGTGGATAGTGCTATTTGTGTTATATTTTTAGTCACCACCAAAGCCAAGGTCATGCAGATTTCTGCCTATGTTTTCTTTAAGAAATTTTTTAGTTTTGCATCTTATATTTATGTCCATGGTTCATTATGAGTTGATTTTGTGTAAGTTGCAAGGTCTTTGTCCAGGTTCGCCTATTTTTGTGTACCTGGATGTCCAGTTGTCCCAGCACCATTTATTGAAAAGACTATCTTTCCTCCACAGATGCACATTTGTTTTTTGGTCAAAGACCATTCACCTGTTTGTGTGGGTCTATTTTGAGGCTCTCACTTCTGTTCCAGTGATCTGTCATTCTCTTCTTTGACAATCCTACGCTAGCTTGAATATTTCTTGCCTTATAGTAAGTCTTGAAATCAAGTAGTGTGATTCTTCCAACCTCAGGCTTCTTAGTATCGTGCTGGCTATTCCAGACCTTTTGCCTTTCCATGCAAACTTTAGAATTATTTAGTTGATATCTGGAACATAGTTTGCTGGGATTTTAATTGGGGTTGTGTTAAATCTGTAGTCCAAGCTGGGAAGAATTGGCATCTTAGTTATATTTCTTCCCATCCATGAACACATCCATTTAGGTATATTATTTTGTAAATACTTTTATAGTTTTCACATACAAGTCTCATGCATATTTTGCTGGGTTTATACCTAACTTCTTTCATTTTTAAGTGCCATTATAAATGGTATTATTTCTAGAATTTCAAATTCCAATTGTCTGATGCAGGTATATAGAAAAGCAATTGACCTATGTACATTAACCTTATATCCTGAGACCTTGCTGTAGTCTCTTATTGGTTCCAGGAGTTTTCTGGTTGACTCTTTGGGACTTTCTAAATCGATGACCATGTCCACTGCAAACAGAGACAGCTTTACTGCTTCCTTTCCTGTCTGCATGTCTTTTGTCTTTCTCAAGGAACGAGTAGGGCTTCCAGGACAATGCACAGGGGTGGTGAGAGAGGACAGCCCTGCTTTGCTCCTGATCTTGAAGGAACAGCCAGTTCTTGCAGCCACCTGTGATGTTGGCTCTAAGGCTTTTGTAGATGTTTCTCTTACTCAGCTTTTAGTTCTTTTTCCTTCGTGTTTCAGTTAGGATGATTCTTTATGTCAATAGCTTGAGAAGTACAAACGACTTTTGGTTGCATGGATGGTTGGCATGCAGACTGATTCCACATCTTTGCAATTGTCCTGTGATGAGCAGGTGAGTGCAGCGAGCACAGGTGTCTTTTCTGTACAACACCTGCTGTTCCTCTGGGCAGATGCCATGGGGCGGAGCTGCTGCATCGAATAAATGCTCAAGAGCTCTGAGAGCCTCCACCCAATTGTCATGGGGGTTGTGCTAATTCTCACTTGCTCCACTCATTCCACCTATGCCCATCCCGCCCCACACCCACCCTGACCTTGCCCCACCCATCCCATCTGTGCCCCCCCATGCCACACCCACCCTGTCCTTTCCCTGCCCATCCCACACATGCCCCATCCCACCCCACACCCAGCCTCTCACAGGTTCACGCCAACCATGCACGTCACGACGCAGACCTCCTTCTACAAGGCCCTCCAGCTCAGCGATCACAGCCATGAGATCTGCTGGCAGCCCTCATTCCCAGCCCCTGTCTGCTACTCGCACAGGGCCATCTGAGCCCGCTTCTGTGGACTGTTTGGTTTTCTCTCTCTTGCCTGTGCACCATCGGCCTGTTGTGTCGTGTGGGAGGGTCTCTCTCTCTCTCTCTCCGCCTTCTCACCTGCCCTGCCCCACCTCGGGTGCCACCAGTGTGCGCTCAGTGAAGGTCCCATGAGCTGCAATGGGCGGTGGGCACAGACTCCATGCCTGGGGTGCCGATCCCTCACCCCAGCTCAGGTGCAAGAGGCTCCTCCTCCAGTTCCACTTCTGTAAGGCCTTTGTGGCGGATCTGCCCTTCCTTGAGCCAGCTCCCGAGGGCCGCAGGTCTCTTGCTCCTAGAGGGGTGTCATCCTTTCTGGAATGCGGTTCGTTTGGGTTTCTTGATGTCCACAGTTCTCTGGGGGTTTCTAGAAACCCCATGCTGTGGTTTCTCCAGTCTGTCTTTCCGTTAGGTGAGAGCCACAGCCCATTTCAACTTCCTGCATCCTAGTGGGAAGCAGAAGCCCTTCTCCTCGTCGCTCTAGCTGGAGGGCTGATGTCCCTTAAGCCACTCTCTCACTGGGGGTGTGGCCCTTTGTGCTCCAAAGCCCAGTGTCTCATCAGAAGGCCTGGGTCATTGAGTTGGCCCCTGTGGGGCCCCGGCTCAGCTCACTTCACTTCCATCTCCAGCCTGTGAGGCTCTTTTTTTCTGAAACTCAGTTTTGCCCCCACATGGCTTGCCTTGATGTACGCCTCCTTGGCATGTTCCTCCCGTCTCCACCAGACTGCAGGCCCATCTGCCTTGGGCTCACACCTTGAACCCAGGGCCCAGCACTTGGTCCAGTTGATGGTGATCAGCAAACATTGGGTGATGCCCCTTGGAGCAGCCAGGCCCCAGGGAGCACCCAGCTCCCTCCATCATCTCTGCTTAGGGCTGAGTCTGGTCCCAGGCCTGCCTAAGCTCTGTCCCAAATGTGCCATGCTCCTTCCTTCCCTGTCCCTGTGTGCCTTGCTGGTGAGGACATTCTGCCCCGAGCCAGGTCTCCCTGGACCTGGGGACTCCCTACAGGCAGTTGGTAGCCTGTCCCAGAAGAACCCAATGGCGACCAGGCAGGCCCCTCCCGGCATGTGGGGGAGAGTGGCTTTGCACCTTCAGCAGTGAGGGTGGAGGGGCTGGGAATGAGGACTGCCAGTGGGGAAAGTCACTCCTCCCAAGGGCCTCCTTTCCCCTGACTGAGCCTACCGTTCCTGTCCTGGCAGATCCAGGAGCATCTCACCTGTGTGGGTCTGGCCCGTGTTCAGGAAGATCCTGAGTCAGAAGAGGATGGGGGAGGTCCCACCTCAGGAACCCTCTGGGGGCCTGGGGTGGGCAGAGGTGGCTCTAGAGGGTGGGGCTGGCAAGACAGGGGCGTCCCCTCCCTGTTGCACTCAAGTTCAGCAGGAACAGAGGTGGAGGAGGACCCTGTGCTGAGGTCTACGGGGTCTCATGTCCCACCTCCTGGGTAACCAGCCCTCAGCTTCCTCGCCCTGCCCATCCTACCTATGCCCCGCCCACACCACACCCACCCAGGCCTTACTCCACTCCTTCCTCTATACCCTTGTTCCGCATCTACACTCTTGTTCCACACTCACCCTAGCCTTGCTCCGCCCATCCCACTTATGCCTCT